ATACCTTAGATAGCATGGACAGACAGATTAAATAGACAAGAGACTTAGTGGGTTAGGTAGGCCACCGGTGCGTAAAAAAGGTAGGGTAATCAAAGAGGATACAGCATCCGAAGAAGTGAGGTTTTTACTCACGAAAGCTTATGCCCAAATAAATCTGTTAGTCTTTAAGGTGCCACCAGACTCCTTGTTGTTTTAGCAATTTCACAGTCTATGTGAGTTTTTAGCATTGGTTTTCAGCATGGAGAATGATGGGGCAAGGAAAATGATCTCAGGGTATGAAGGTGATGGCACCGTCCAGGAGAACATTATAAAATAAATAAACAAACAAGCAAATAAATAAGTAAATAAATAAATAAATAAAGGGGTAATAGAATATTTTAAGAAATTAAACTGTAATGGATGGCATTCATCAAGGAACTATGAATGAAGTTGCTGAGCTACTAATACAAGTATGTAATTGAGGGATTACAGGGTGACTCACACCTTTAAAGAGTGATACTAATGGGTGATCTTGAGAATTAGAGAGACCAGCACATTTTACTTTAGAGTCAGGAAAATAGTTGGGAAATGTTAGTGGATAGCTATAACGTATCTAGGGGAGTATAATGTGATTCACAAACAAAAGCATCACAGTACTGCCAACCCCAAGTGTCCAAAAATCATGGGAGTAATAAATAAATACAATCCTGGCCCTTTTTCTTTGCCTTCTGGTTTTTGAACCTTTAGGATACACTGGGGACACGTTTTCAAGCTTTTTCTCTGCAACCACGAGGGCTAGAAACTCTTTTTTTTCTTTCAAAAAAGGAAAGCTGAGATTCTCATGTAATCATTTCACTCCAGGAGCTCGGGCTTTAAGAAAAGCACCAAATATCATGAGACCTGATAACACTTCATCAACTTAACATTAATGTCACTTAAAAAGGAAATTAGCAATTAAGATCATTACATATAGTTTTCAAATGCACCTAAATGACTTACAATCCTAAGTGCCATTGACTTACACACCAATGGAACTTAGGAGTCCAAGTCACTTAAGTGCTTTTGAAAATTTACCCATTGACTATGTAACTGAAATACCATTCCATATCACATGCAGTTTAACAAAAATATAGATGAGATAACTGTTAATGTGAACACGCTGTCTGACCCAGCAACCAAGGAAGTCAACAGGAGTTTTCCCCTGGAGTTCAATGGGAACAGGACAGGGGCCCTCCTGAGGTGCATTCTAACAATGTGTCTCAGCATCTCCCCTGTGCTGTGCTGAGCTCTAAGGTCCCAGTGAAGTCCATAGGAGGGTTGAGCAGTGAAGCCCAGGAGAAGGAGACAGGAGGATACACATCCATCTTGTTCCTACTACAGAACCTCAGAGGGGGGACATATAAAAATTAAAACATAAAAACTGGAAACACTAATCTGCAACTTCACAGAACCCAACACTAGTACTAGGCAAAACAGCCCCACTGAGTCACAAGGAAGGTGTATAGACCAGGGGTAGGTAACCTATGGCACGCGTGCCAGAGGCGGCACACGAGCTGATTTTCAGCGGCACTCACACTGCCCGGGTCCTGGCCACTGGTCTGGGGGGCTCTGCATTTTAATTTAATTTTAAATGAAGCTTCTTAAACATTTTAAAAACCTTATTTACTTGACATACAACAATAGTTTAGATATATCTTCTAGACTTATAGAAAGAGACCTTCTAAAAATGTTAATGTATTACTGGCACGCGAAACCTTAAATTAGAGTGAATAAATGAAGACTCGGCACACCACTTCTGAAAGGTTGCCGACCCCTGCTATAGACCCTTATTGATTGCTCAGGAAAAATATCATCCTGAGTTTCCTTCCCCCCTACCTCAGTGCCCTGTGGAGTTTAGGAATCCCAAAGGGTATTTGCCTCCCTCTCTCTTCTTTTCCCTTAAAGGCCCTGTGGAGTTTAAAAGGCAAACAGCCATCAAAATAAGAAAGTCAGATTTTACTAAGAGAAAAATGCAAATAGAATCTGGCTCAATGTTTCTGTCCTGGTCTGCAATGCGGTGAAGCCCACATCTGGATCTGGACAGGCACGAAATGTGGGGGTATACGGACAGAGGGTTGTGGTTCGGGCCTATCGCTAGAGATTAAAAAGTGCATTCCTTTCTATATGCAAGAACTGTCTTGGCCCCCAATTAAAAATAAATGACCTCTGCATCCCTTCATCCCCTCCACTTACTACTGCTGTTCCATGTTTCTTCTTTATTTTGTCTTACTTTCCTGCTTGGATTTACATTCACTGTGACAATTTACCTTCAGGCCAGCCCCCTTTTCTGTGTCCTCTTAAATCATAAACCCCATACCACCCATTTTTTTCAATAATCATCCAACCTGCTCCTCAGTCCCATGGAAACTCTTTGCTAAGGTGTTGTCTTTCCCTTATCTGGAACAAATTCCTTCATAGATGGGCCGTCTTTGCCCTTTCAATGTCTAAGAATAACACTTTTAACTATCAATAGACACAAAGAGTTTCAGCTGCACCATTCCTGTGGGATTCCTATGAGTTTAGACACATCTGCTAAGATATATATATATATAGCAGAGTCTGAATGAAGCTTTATTTTTATTATATCCTTAAGCATCTGTTGAAATTTTCTGCCGGAATGTTCTTATCTTTTGGCACTCCCAAAACATAGGTCTATACAGTCACTGATGTTTGAACAGCTCCTGTGTTATCTACACTCTTGAAAGCCTAACCTATTCACATGGGGCCATGTTCTGAAGTCCTTATTCACTCTACACGCATCGCAGTCAAGGGGAGTTTTGTCCAAGTAGAAAGTGGAGTATGGCCTTAGGTTTTGGCCCCTACTAACCGTTACCATTTGCTCTTTTGGTGATTAGGAAAGCGTGTGGAATCTTTGCACCATCTGACAATAGCCTCATTGCTTCCTTGTAACTATTTCTTAACATATAGGGCCAGATTTTTAGTGGAGGCTCTTAGCCTGTGTCTGCAATTTACACCCAAACTCTTCAAATTTCACAACTCTTCACACCAACATCCGCATGTACACCATGAGGTATTTAGAACTCTAACGTCTGGTATAACTCCAAGGGAATTCAAGGTACTGGTTGCTATCTGCAAAGCCCTACAGGAACTAGGACTCAGCTATCTCAGAAACCACCTCTCCTTCTGAACTGCCATTCCACCTGCATTTGCCTGGAATGCTTAAGCTAATCTCTCCCAGCAGGGAAAGCGATGGGAGCTTGAAGCAATGCATTCTAGATTGAAAGTTCTTGCTTCAGGAATTTCCTCTCACTGGTAATATGTCTAAGCCCAAGAATAGGAACATTTAAGACCCAATCCTACACGGGGCAGAGTCAATGTGACTTCAGTGGGTGTTGATGGCACACAGCACCACACAGGAGGCACTCACCACACAGGATGGGGCCCTTAAGAAAGCATTGTATAATACATCTTTTTGCCCAGACTTTTTGTTAACTGCTTGCTTCAGCACCGTTAGCATTCAAACTACTGCCTAAACTTTCTTTGTCTTTGTCTTTTAAAGATGAGGTGCAGCTGGCTGTCTTGGTGTATTTGCTACCTATACTCGGGAAATTGCTCTTAAGCTGAACCATGTAGAGAGTCCAAAATAAATAAGGTAATAGATTCAAATACCTGGTACACTGATCTAATGCTTCAACCATCTTACAAAACAAACCCAAATCCCAGTCGTATCCAGTGACAGGCATCTCAAATTGGAAGAGAATTTTCCTTTGCACCAAATTGTATGGTGCTTCCTTTTCCATTGTCTCATGCCTCTTTCTCTTTACCAGGTCACTGGGCCAGCTTTAGGGGAGCCTCCTGATGCTGTTTATTGGTTCTATTAAAACTGTGATCTCAAGAAGAGGCTCATAATGAATAAAGTCAGAAGGTGGCAGGAGTGAATTGCCGCTGAAGTGATTAGGATAGCAATTATCCCAATAACTTGGTTGCTTCCAAGATTGGCCCTCAGGCAGGTCGTTTAAATTAAAAAAAGAAAATATCTTATTTGTTACCTGGTATTTTTATTGCCATACCCATATTTTCTTTTTATTGACCTCCGCAAAGTTTAGCTGGCTTCTGAGTTCTTAGAAGCTGGCTTCCTCGTCTTACTCCCCCACCCCTTGTACATTTTAACAATATCTTAAAACCACTCCAAAAGAGGCAAACTACCTCCCTTAAAAAATGGTGAACGTGAGAGCTGACATAACCCAATGAAGGGATGGTTGTAAAATTTCAACATATTGAAGATCTGCTATGTATTTCTGTCTTTTCAAAATCGAGTTCCAATTGCTCATTTCCTTGTTTTGGGGTTGTGGTTTTTTTTTTTTTTGGTGTCCTGGATGAAACGAAAAAGAACATTTTAAAAAGGCCAGGAAATCTGTGCTGACTCATCTTTGAGTTAATACACTGAAAACATATCAACAGCGTCTGGCCTATCTGGTTGCATTGGGCCTTGAGTCCTCTAGGTCCCCACCATGCTAAACCCAATCCACCTCACAGAGCATCACCGGGATTCTTTGCCTGAAGCCCTGTTGCATAATGGGGTCTGCTAGAGATGTGCATTCCCTACTTGCTCTCCTCCATTGTGGCCTGGGTTGGGGTTGGGGTTGCAGTCAGAAGACAAGTGGGGATGAGGAGAAACACAGCTACATGAAGATGAGGAACCCCAGTCCTAGGGAGGGAGGGAGCTGGTGGGGAGCCATGCATATATTATTTCACAGAAATTAGGGCCAGCCCTGCATACCTGATCTGTGCAACTCTCTCAGCTTTCTTAGGCTGACTGAATAATCATGACTTTATCACAGAAAACTTCCTGGAAAATATTCTGAAGATAAATGGACCAAAAAAAGGAGGAGGGAAAGGCTGATGAGATCTTGCTGATGACATTATGGAAACAACATGCATCAGGCTGGGAAAGCTGGTCCACGGTGTGGAATGGTATTTCACCAGCTCCCAGCAACTCGTCAGTACATTGGTGTACTCACAATCAGATGACCCTGTGTGTGCGGGCAGGTTTGTTGGTGACTGTGATGAGTGGGTGAGGGCTGGGCTCAGAGGCGGAACAGCTTCAAGGTTCAGGCAGGGAAGGCCTGGCTTGGCGCTGCATGCACCCGTCTGAGTAATCTCATTCTCCTCAGACGCCTTCTGGTTTTCAGCTGTCTTGGGTTTCTTCCTGAAAATAAACAAAGAAACCTTTGAAGGGACTAACTGCGTATTTGGGAAAAGGCATTTTTAGAATCTGTTAAAGATAACTTGTTTTTTTTTTTTTCCTTAAAGGGAGGTAGCAGGGAGGACTCCATGCCTCTTGTTTGGAAACAAGCTGCTCCTTGTTTTCACTCTGATGCAATGGCCCTGAGACCACATTAAAGCACAGAGACCAAGTCAGAAGCTCCCCATTCTGCCCCTACTGACTACATATAAATTAAAACCTGTCTGAGTTCTTTACACAGTCTGAGCTTCATGTGACAAATATTAATCAAGGCTGCATCACTCTGAATTGAAAGTTATACAGAAATATATAGCAAATGTATCTGGAAAACAAATAAACACTGATGTTTCCAGTTCAAGAAGTGTGAAAGTATAAGCTGGTACTTTGTGAAGAAGATTATGGGTGCAGGGGGCAAGGATGGTGAAAGGGGGTAATTTTGAGAGGCAGAGGTCATTTATACAGGTGAAGCAATAAGATTTAGAGCCTTACACAACCAGCAATAGCCACACTGCATGCTGGCTTCCTCTACTTCCCTTAAAAGAAGAGAGCCTTTAATTACTAAGTCTAATATTTGTACTTCTTTAGTGCACTCCATCCAGGACCTCAAAGCACTTTGGAAACATCCAGAATGAAGCCTCAGAAATCCCACGTGAGGCGGGTAAGCATTATTATCCTAATTTTACAGGTGGGAAAACAGAGGCATGAAGAGGGAAAGTGACTTGCCCAAGGGCATACAGCAAGTCTGTCACAGAAAGGAAAAAAGCCCAGAGCTCTGTGCTTTAAATACTAGAAAATGCTACCTCCCTCTTTACAGAAGTAAGTTACAGCTGGAGCTCTAATTGCAGTGTTTAGTTTGCAAAATCATTGTCTTGGAGAAGCAATGACTTGTAACTTTTGGCCAGCAGACTGGCTGCCCTACTGTATGTCTGGATCCAGGCAGGTGCAGTGCTCATGGAAGTGAGCAGAAAGTTACGGGGGGTAAACATAGCAATTCAGGTACTACCTGCCATGATGGCAGGATGTGTCACTTACTGCTGTTCATAGGTACAACCTAATGAAACCTGATTTCAAAAGCTCTTCTTTGGCCTAGAATGATGCCCACTTAAAACACAAATAACTGTTGAAGAAAGCAACCTTCTTAAAATGTTTTCTCTACAACAATGGCTTTGCATTATTTTTCACCCAGGGAGCCCTCCATTTGTGTTACAGAAGCTCTGAGGGTTCTTCTGTTGTTTTATCCAGTTTCCCCACATCACAGCAACCATTCTACAAACAGAGCACCGGACTATTCATCACCATAATTCTTTAAATGGCTGGAATGGTTGCTATGTCAGCAGCCCCTTCTGAAGTGCCTATTGCCCTGGTAAATGCAAATAAACAACACAACCAGTTTTCTCCTATATCTCCACCACCAAAATCCTCACTCAACGTGTCCTGCAAAGATACAGGCTCATTAAGACAGCAAAATCATATCTTTGAGAAATAGTCCTGCCTCTTGCCTATCTTTTTATATTTTTTTAACAGATTTTACAAAACCTGTTCTAGGGTCCAAGCACCAGAAAGGAAAAAAAAAAAGAAAAAAGAGAAAGAGATACACACAAGAAAGAAAGAGCATCTATCACGCAACAGAGAGCAAAGCCACTTTGCCATTAATCGAGAACATTGTCTCCGGTTATATAAAAGAATTATATAAGCCTGGCATATCTGAGGGCATAGTATGTGGAAGCTCTTGTCAAACCTTGGTGGCTGCCAGTACTAGCTGGTCACCTTCAGAGGGCAGCAGAGCACCACCTGGCTCCAGGCTACATTGTAGTGAGACAAAACCTCCCTAGAATCTTCCTCCTGGTCACCATGCCAGAGGTTAAGTCTGCCAAGCTCTTTTTTTTTTAAATTCTTTGCCGTAAGTGTTAAAATTACACACTCCAATGAAGTGTCTCCTCAGCCGGAAAATGAAAGCTCAAGTGAAAAAAGTTAAACAGGCCTGCCCTCAGCCCACCCCCCCAATAAAACCCAGCTGAGCTCCCAAACCCAAAGTAAAACAGTAGAAAAAGGAAGGAAAATGTGAAAAAGAAAAATAAATAAAGAAAAGGCAGACACTGCATGGAGAAACACAAAGCAAAACTGGGTGCGTGTACACACACACACACACACACACACACACACGCATGGAGAACTCCCT